ACACAAAAGGCTGGTGGAAGCCAGGTGCAATGGCACACACCTATAATATTAGCAGCTCAGGAGACTGAGGCAGGAGGATCACAAGTAAGAGGCCAGCCTCAGCAATTTAGGGAGGACCTAAACAATTTAGTGAGACCTTATCTCAAAATAAAAAATAAAAAAGGGCTTGAGATGTGGCTCAGGGGTAGAGAACCTCTTGGTTCCATCCCCCAAGTACTGAAAAAAAAGTTAGTCTCTTAAGAGACTAGTTTGTCAGTAACCCTGGCCAACAGGGTTTACAGACTGAACATGAAACACACAGAGATTATGATACAAATTTATCAGTAGTTTTAAATATAGTTCTCCAACTCTTACAGAAATCACTACTCCAACTGCTTATATGTGAGGCCAGAGATATCAGGAACAAAAAAATAGATGATGTTAAATTAGATGATAGAGCAATAGATATCTAAATAGACAGTCACAAGGTAGAATACAGGTTTTGTAATCAGGCAGAATTGCTTGAAATCCCATTTTTGCCACTTTTAGCTATGTGGGCACATCACTATATGTAACAAATACCGATTATAAAGTACATGATGATTGGTACTTAAAGCCTTAATTAAATTGTACTTCTCTTTATGTATATTACTTTTTAGATGTAGCTAATTTTTCAAACCACCCAAACAGCTGATGTTGTTTCCTGTTTCCATAAATATTTGATCATTCACTTATTCGTTTCCTTGACAAATGTTGATCAACAGGCCATCTATGAAATATAGGGGGATGCTAAGATCTATGTACACACTGTTGTTGGGTGTTGTTGGGCACTGTGCTGGGTACAGGGGACACAAGGATGAAGAAAGCAGAACTCCTGCCCTCCCAGGGGTGACCTAGAATTTGACCTCTCTTTCCTTCTCTATTCCAGGAGCCTTAAACTCTGAACTTTGTTCTGTGTTGAAGAATAACTCTGTCACACAGTGAGGGCCTGAATGAAAAGGAGTGATTCAGTAGTCAGGAGAATAATCCTTAGGTATCTGAAGAACTCTTTATACTGAAAGAGAACTTCTGCAGTCTGTGTGGCTGCAAAGCGGGTAGATTTCAGGTAGAAATAAAAGGGAGCTTTTAAAATCAAGTTTCCCTAATCTGGACAGAATTTACTTTGTAAGTAGAGAATACTCTGTCACTTCAAGGAAGAGTCCTGCCAGAGGCTGAACACTGAGCTCTTTGAATTCCCACACTGGGAGGGAGGCTGGCCAGTAAGATGCCTTCCATCTTGGAGTTCTGGGATTCTTTTATTGAGCTCCCATATGTTCAGACCAAGATTAGGTTTTTAACCCCAAAGGTGGTCCATGAGAGAGCCAGTGGACACCCCAAGTAATATGAGCATGAAATATAAAAGGACCAACCTGTACAAAATGACCTCCTCACTTACCTGCTCAAGGACAGAATTTCTCAAGTTTCTCATTCTCTGGCTTTAAGACATTGTTAAAATGTATTCAATTCAAGAAAATGCTTACAAACTACTGAGAACATTTCAAAGAACATTGAAATGACTGGCAGAGGATACCACTGGCCAAATATAAGATAACCCAGAAGAAAAAAATTATAAGGAGCATAATAGAGTAAAACATCTTAATTTTTTAAAAAAATCAAAGTCTATCAGGACACTAAGAGAAAACGGGGATGATCAGGTACACAGATAAATAGCTCTTTACGGAGAAATGCCTGCCACCAATAAATTTAGAACGAGTACATTTAAAGTTCACCATTTTGCAGCCATCTATGAAATATAGGGGGATGCTAAGATCTATGTACACACTGTTGTTGGGTGGTAGTGCAGTCACACGGTCTCTAAGTAGTACCTTACTAAATTACAAGGGAGAATGTACCATTGTTAAGGTACCACATACCACCCAAGGGATCTAACTCAATCATGGGACAAACTCACATGATTAGTCTCTAGGAGTGATGCCACAAGAAAACATCATTTTTGCAGATTTTTTTTTTACTTTTATTCTAAACAAATAAATCTGGAGTAGGACTCTAAAATTTTAATGTCATGAAATCCCCCCCTCCCCACCAAAAAAAGGTGGAGAAATCTTACTAGATTAAAGGACATGTCAAACAAATGCAGTAAGCAGCCCTTGATTAGATTCCACGTGTAAGCAAAAAAACAAAAAACAAAACAAAACAAAAAAACAGTTTGAAGCATCATTTTGTAGTCAATTGGAGGAATGTGAAAATATACCACATGTTAACAAATAGTACTATAGGAAGTTAAATTTTGAGAGTGGATAATGTTGTGCATATTTAGGAGATGGACTTGTTCTTAGGTGAAGTGTCAGGATATCTGCAGCTTACTTTCAAATGGTTCAACAAAATGAAATTGAGAATTTTTTTTTTCAAGAAAGAAGCAAATATGGAAACTATTAACCATTGGTGAATCTAGGAGAGTATATACTAATTGCACTTGACTTTCAACGTTTAACTTTTTTTTTTTCCAGTAGTAAAGATTGAACCAAGGGCTTCCTTGTGCTAAGCAAACATTCTTCCACTGAGCTACACCCCCAACCCTAACATTTTTTTTAATAATCAAAATTGGGGTGTCCAAGAAATTAAAGGAAGCAAATATTTTCCTACTATCATATGTAACACAATAATTCTGATATAAGATATTCCAGCAGATATCAACAGGGTATATCTACCTGAAATAGTATCAGATCCCCACAGGCTAAGTGGCCACCTGTGCTTCTGACCTAATGGCTATAAATCAGGGGTTTCCACATTCTGTCTTCTTGAAGTTCAATTGATTTGCTAGAGCAGCTCAAAGAATTCAGAGAAACACTCAATTTACATTTACCCATTGATTATAAACGATATTACAAAGACTATAGATAAGTAAATGCACAGGCCAAGGTATGTGAACAGGGCTCAGAGTTTCTATATCCTCTCAGGGCATACCACCTTCCAGATACTTCCATGTGTTCAGCTGTGCAGAAGCTCCCTGATCTCTGTCCTTTTGGGGTTTTATAGAAGCTTCTTAGGTAAGCATGATTGCTCACTTCATTGGCTACAAGTGATCAACCTGACTTGCATCCTCTCCTGGCAGGGTTGGGAGTGGAGGGGCTGAAAGTTCCAATCTTGGTCTCTCTTGTGACCAGCACCCATCTTGAAGCTATCTAAGGGACCCCAACTCTAGTCATGTAAGCATAAAAAAAGATACTTACCACTCCAGAGATTCTCAGAGGTTTAGGAGCTATGTGACAGGAACCAGGAACACAAACCAATTATTTCTTTATTATATTACAATATTACAGGGAGAAATACATTTCTATTACTTAGCAGCTTTTTCTCTTGAAAGCCATTATTCCAAAATTTTCGGCCTGGAATTTATTGGATTATTTTAGATACCCAGCCAGGCCTTAAAAGAGGGTTACAAATGGGATATGCTGGAGATGGGAGAGGACAATGAGAAAGCCCTGGAGAAGTGACAGATATAGTTCCCTGGAGTCATGCAGCAGGGTACCCAGGGAAACTGGCAACCCAGAGAATGAGGGAGCTAAACAGGAAGTGGAGATAGAAACCAAGGATTGGGCTCCAAGTTTGTATCCTGCCCTGTTTACTCTCCAGGCTGGAGCCATCTTGACCCCTCCTCTCCTTGTGTGGGAGGCATTTGTCACAAGTTCTGTTCCCTCCACTGCCAACTACTGACCTTTGATTTGAGCATGGAGGTTAAATGTGTGAGTGTTGGAATTAGTGGCCCCTGCATAAATCTCAGTTTTGGTAGTGTTGAATGTGAAGTAAATCCTTGATAGAATTACAATGGATCAGATGAGACCTCAAGGACAGGATAAGTATAAAGCAGTTGGCAGAGGCCCTGGTGCATGGTACCTGCTTAGTATTTTGTGCTAACACACGCGCGCACACACACACACGCACACGCACACACACACACAGATACCCCTCAGCCAATGGCACTACTCTTCATGCACATCTTCTGCTTGATGCCCCCTTGTCTCACCCATCCCCACATTCACATCCAGTTGGTCAGCATTCCCCACTTCCAAATGCATGTCCTAAATCAGATTGCTCTTTACCAACCTCCAAAACTGCCACCACTGTCTCTTATCTCCTTAGATAAGGAACCACGTAATTGCTCCTCTTGTCCCCCAACCAGTATGTTTTCAGTGGCAGATATTCTCAGCTTCCTGGGGAACATCACCCTTCTGCCTAAGCCTATAACTTCCCATCATCCCATAGCACCTAAAATCATGACTTGGCTCCTGCCCACCACTCAAATCTCATCTCCTAAAGCTTCCCTAGTGCTCACTGCTTTCTGGCACTCTGACTACTTTTCTGACCCTCAAACTCATCCATGCTCATTCTTACCATGCCTTTTCTGTTCCTTCTAAAATCTCTTGCCCTGTGTCTTCACAGGGTTGCTTCCTTCTCCTCTTCCTTGTCCTTTAGGTCTCGGTTCAAAAGTCATTTCTTCAGCAAGGTCTTCCTTGGCCATCTAATGCTGTTTATCACCTCACTATTATCCTTGTTTATTATTATTATTTTTTGAGGTACTGGAGATTGAATCCAGAGGATATACCACTGAGCTATATCCCCAGCTCTTTTTTATTTTGATAGTGTCTCACTAAGTTGCCCAGGCTAGCCTCAGACTTGTGATCCTCCTGCCTCAGTGTCCCAACTTGCTGGGATTAAAGGTGTGCACCACTGCGCCTGGCAATGTTCATTATCTTTACAGCACTTGTCATTACCTAAAATCACCTTGTTCACTTGTTGATCCCTTATATGTCTCCCATATATAGTGTAAGTTAGACACAGGGAAATTTGTATCTTGTCCACCTTTACAGCATCAATACCAGAGCCTCTAACCATTCCTGGCATATAACAGGTACTCAATAAATGCTTGTGAAATAAATTAATGAGTTAAATAAGTTGATTAAAGTATAAGTTCATTACACTAAAGTGTAAGTGTGCCTGACATCTAGCACTCCATCCTGCAGGTCAGGGTGTGTCACTGTACATTCCCCAGTCCACCATCAATGCCACTGTCGAAGAAGACATCCTGCTCTCAGTTGAATATTCCTGCCATGGGGTGCCCACCATCGAATGGAAGTATACATCCAACTGGGGTGTGCAGAAAATCGTGGAGTGGAAACCAGGGACTCAGGCCAACATCTCCCAAAGCCATAAGGACAGAGTCTGCACCTTTGACAATGGCTCCATCCAACTTTTCAGTGTGGGAGTGCGGGATTCAGGCTATTACATCATCACCGTGACAGAGCGCCTGGGGAGCAGCCAGTTTGGCACCATTGTCCTGCATGTGTCTGGTAAGACAGCCACAGGGGTCTGGGTCACCTCTGAACACAAGTGTGGGTGGTCGACTTCACAATATTAAAAGGGATCTATCTTCCCTTTTCCCTCCCCACATCCCTAGAGATCCTCTACGAAGACCTCCATTTTGTTGCTGTCTTCCTTGCTTTACTCGCCGCTGTGGCCGCAGTGTTAATCAGCCTCATGTGGGTCTGTAATAAGTGTTCATATAAATTCCAGAGGAAGAGAAGACACAAACTCAAAGGTAACATTTGGGGCCTTGTGATTATTCATTTGTGGTTTTGAGACCACAAGTGGCATGTGTTATCTTGTTCATACCAAGAAACCACCGTGTGGCTGATTTCAATTCATTGACTTGTCTTTTGCTTTGCAGAAAGCACAACTGAGGAGATTGAGCTACAAGATGTTGAATGCTAGTCAAGGCTGGGCCCAGTTACATTCCTACCTCAAGAGGAAAACATTATTTCCTAACCAAAAGAACAAACATAGCCAATCCACTCTACAGCCTCTTGTGGTCCTGCCATGCAACCCATTCCTCCTAGGACAGAAGGTAACACAATGGACCGCATGGAGTTGAAGTTTACGGCTTGGACAAACTCAGTCCTAGGACTTCAAGGAGAAGAGTTAATTGGAGTTTGAGCCAGGAGCTTTGCTTGATTGAAGCTTCAGGGTCATGCTGACCCATAATCAATGACGAGGGGCTGGCACTGACTGCGGATCACAGAGCTTGCTCTGGCCCCAGGGATGGTCTGTTGGAGGAATCCCTGTGTCAGGGGCCAGAGTATCTCCAGATTGGCTGATGTGCAGCCAGCACTGGAACATGCTTTCTGTGCCTTTGTGCTTATATCTGCTCTGGAAACTGCTGCACCCACCAACCTCCTATCTTGTACCTCATAAGCACTGCTGTGAGAGCTATTGTGAGAAAATCTGAGGCTTTCAGACAATCTGCTGCCTCAGAGGCAGAGGTAAAAAGAGTCTAAGGGGGTGCTATTGTGCTATAGTGGGCTGCTCAGAGATGGGACCCTATAGCTTAGAGCTTTAAGGAGAGGAGCTTGATGCAACTCTGAGGGACAATCTATGGACATAGGAAACAGAATTTTTTTTTCTTCCTCTACCATTCCAAAATGAATTGGGTTTTCTCTCTCATAGCCCAGTTAGGTCAGTGTGAGGGAAAATAAGGCTCATTTTCACTATGGGCAGCATTGGTCTTCCTGGCAAGCTAGATAATGCCACCTGTGTGAAAGTTGAGCCTGCATATGGATGGTGCAACCAGGAACACAGTAATCTCAGGCTTAAGATCTGTCCCGCTCAGTCACAAACACTTCATCTCCAGTCAAGCCCTTGTTCTCTGTCCTACCCCAGCTGAGGAATGTTTGGCTCTCACCTACCTCACAGTTAGGATATCAAGAGAAGCCCACAGTGTGTCTAGAGCACTCTGAGCAGTTTAAGAAAAGCATGAGAATCCTTCAAGGATCTGGAAAGCTCTACTGGAAAATGCTATACTGAGTATTAGAAATTGAAATGCCTTGGGGTACAGAGGCTCCAGCTAATCTTGGGGATTGGATCCCAACAGGCCTTCATCCTTAATGTCTCCAGTTTGTGGTGATGTTTACCTGAAAATTTTTCCATCCCCACTTCCATTTGGCAAGCTCCAAAATCAGGCATGAGCTGGGCATGGTAGCACATACCTAGTAATCCCAGCTACTTGTAAGGTTGAGGCAAGAAGATCTCAAGTTAAAAGCCAGCCTCACAACTTAGTAAGTCCCTGTCTCAAAATAAAAAATAAAAAGGTCTGGGAATGTACTCTGTGGAAGAGTGCTTGCTTAGCCTGTGTGAGGCCCTGACTTCAATTCCCAGTAGAGAAAGAATCAAAATAAAGGTAGATATGAATTTATTTCCCACTCTCATTTCTCTCTACAATAATTGTGGTTTCAGACCAAAGATACTACCCCAATTATGATGGAGGCTGAGGTATTAGCAGTGTTCCCAGGCCTCAATTGCAAATTCATGCATGCAAAAGTGCTAGGACATTCCTTTTCTTCTCCTTCCTTTCAGATTCCCAATGTATATCTTTTCTGCTCCCATATTGAAGGTAAGGAGTTGCCTGGAGAAATCCATTAGATTAGACCTTTCCCTAAATAATGAACCCAGAGCTACAGGAAGAGGTCCTTTGGAGTATTCAGATAGCAACTGGTAGTGATCTAATGAAGGACTCCAAAGGCACTACCATACTTGATTCCAAAGACAAGAGAGTAGCAAGTTTACACAATGGACATGTAGCTCTAGCACCTGGTATGCGGCAGGAGCTCATCTTCAGGTCACCTTTGTATACACACATCCAAACATGCACTCTTAATGGCCCTTTCCCAGACAGTAGAGGAACCAGGCCCCGTGCCAGGACAGTTTCTGCACAGCCATGGAGAAACAGGGTGAGGCATACCAGAGAAAAAGGGGATCAAGGATAAGCTGCTTATGTCTTTCTCCTCTTTCTCACAGGAAGCCTAAAGCAGAGTTTGGAGCTGGGTAGCTGGGGAGTGTGTGCTTCCTCTTTCACATTATCTGCTCTTCAAAACTCCATTGCTCAGTTTGTCAGGAGTCAGGGATGGTGAGCTTCAGAGTAAAAGGAGAAATGGAAAAGGACACTCAGAGGAGACCCCCACAGGCACACTCAGATGTAAATTAAATTGCCCCCGAAGAATCTCATAAAGGTTATTTTCATAGCTTTCCATTTCTTTGAAAGGCTGATTTATTTGTGCACTTTTAAAGCTATCCCATTTTTATATCTCACAGCCTAAGGTTTTTGTCTGTTGTTAAAAAAGAAAATATTAAATAATAGGGCTTGGCCAGTGTGATGTTAAGTTATAAGTTGTTTCAAACTGTGAAAAAATGTTTCAAAGAATGAAATAAAACCTGAATATAAAGTCCGAGTCTTTTATGTGAGCTCACTCCTGCCAAGAACTCAAAGGCTCTGGGTAATGTTCTGAGCATACATAAAAGAATCTAACACAGCCATGAGTCTGGCACATGGAACCCATTGGTTTAAACAATAAACATTTTACACTTCAGAAAAACACCTTATTAGCACAACAGTTCTCTCTGTATTGTAGCCAGAAGAACCAATTTGAAATTTGTGCTTCTAGAATATTAATTGTAATTCTAGAGTCCTTCTGCCTTGGACAGGGCTTAAACTAGGAGTGAAAATTGTACCAGCTAGTTCAATGGTGCATAAATTGTCCTACAGAACAGACAAGCTTTGTCAACAACATCTTCTCAGTTATGATCTAAGAATCCAAAAAAGTATATATTGTACTTTCTCATTTCCTGGTGTTCTAGATTTGTAAGGAAAATTGAAACAGAGAATCCATGACCTCTGAAGCCCACATGAGATGGTAAATAACTGAGAGAATTTCAGGCTTACTCTGATTTGAAGCAGTACCACACAGAGGAGGAACAAGGGCAGTGAGAAATAAGATTATCACAGTGTCTTGTCCAGTGCAGGAATATAGAGACAAGGCCTAAGAGAAAATTCCACTCAGAGGGGCTGGATAAGCATAACAATGGGTAGAGAAAAGGTGACAGTATGAAGTGCCAAGGAATGACCAAGGAGCCAAATATGATAGGGTAGACCCCCCAGAGATGTGACACAGTCTCCTTGGCAACCCTAGAAGAAATATTGGATAAAGTGGAAACACTTGGTCTCTTGCTGCTATCAGCATTTACTTATCCTGCCCAGGTGTCTTGTACCCAGTTCCTAGGGAGACATCAGATTCATCTACTTGATTGAAAGCAGAGCAAATCCTGTGGTTATTGTCAGCACAACCATCCATAAATCAACTCCCACTAACAAATGTTGTGAGTTGCCAGTGTATATGGCTTTCTGCACATCTGAATCCACCCATTGCAGCATTTCCGATCCTTAAGGACAAAGAATATGGTTGCTGAGGTCACTATTTCCACAACTTTTTAAAAATCAGGTGAGTGCCCAGAGTCATGAGCCACCACTGCTGCAGTCACAAGCATGGGTGCTATGGCATCTGGAGTTACAGTGAATGATGAAGTCATCAAAGTTTTTAATGACATGAAAGTAAGGAAATCTTATACACAAGGGGAGATCCGAGAAAGAAAAAGCAGTTTTCTTCTGTTTAAGTGATTAAAAAAATATAAATAATTATAGAGGAAGCAAAGATTATCTTGGTGGGTGACATTGTGGAGGACCCCTACACATCTATGTGAAGTTGCTACCTCTGAATGATTGCCGATATGCTTTGTAGGATGCCCCGTACAAAACAAGAATGTAAGAAAGAAGACCTAGTATTTACATTCTGGGCTCCTGAAAGTGCCCTCTGCTTCATGCTAAGCTTAAAGTTGCCATTAAAAAGAAATTTACAGATATTAAACATGAGGGGCAAGTAAATGGCTTGGATGATATTAAGGACCATTTGACACTTGAAGAGAAAGTGAGAGACATTGTAGTAGTTTCATTTGAAGGAAAATGGTTAAAAAATGGCAGTCAAGTGCCACCTGGATCTTAAGGGGATTTCATTTCTCCTCTCCAGTCCATTGGGATTGCATTAGATTTTGATTTTGGTTTCTCTCTTTCCACTGGGCCCTTCCAACACAACAAATGAGATATAATTCATTTAAGATCCTGTCAGTGTTGGCTGTTAGACTCTTTAACATGGTTACTTTTACTTAGAATCCAAAGAATGTTTTCCTGTCTTATTTTAGCCCAAACAGCTGGTTATATACCTCCCTTGCAGCTAACACTACAATGAATGTGACTGTCCATGTTAATAGCTCAGGATCTGTACAGTGTAAGCAGATTGAATGTCCTGAGAGTATTATCCATTGGTCAGATGGTGAAATTGTAGTTCTGTGAGGCACTGGGGCACTCATATACCTCACCTGCTTTGGCAAGCCTTTTTTGTGACATGGCAGCACGAATATAATACTATGCATTAGAGGCACTGTTTTTTATGATGAGCTTAATCCCCCCAAAGAAATGCCAATTAAGTTTCATTAACTGTGTCATCAATTTATCTAGTACCTGACTGTTCATTCCTATTATCTGCATTTCTTCTTAAAAGAAATAGATGTTATTAATGCCTTTTTGATTTCCATTGAAATCACTTCTGAATAAGTGTAGGAATTTTGTTTACCATGTAAATCTCCCAAAATTAAAGATACTTTGAATATAGTCATGATGGCAATTTCTTTATAATAAAGAGCCTTAGATGAAACATTGTTTTAAGGTCAAATTCCCCACCCTTACAAAAATGGCCACGTTGCAATAAAAATGGTAGCTTATTGAAAAAAAAATCAGGTATGTGTGTTTGGTTTTGGTTTAATTACAAAGGTGATAAATCCTTCTTGAAAATTCAAATGATAGTTAAGTCTATACATAAAGTAAACATTCTCCCTTTAAACTCTACTTCCCAGAGGGAACTATAGTTAAATTTGATGAGTATCCTTCTAGATTGGCTTATGAATTATGATATAACATATTCAACTTACTTTCTTTTTAGTCAGATTGGATTCTATTATACATATTACCCTTCAACTTGCTTGATTTTCCTTAAGGGGTTTTGGGTATTATTTTGTGTCTCTACCTTTTCCTCAATTCTATTCTTTCTCTTTCCTGCACAAGGAAATTCACAGCATGGATATATTATAATTGTTCACTGAAAAACTATTTTGTTTCAAATAATATATAAAAAAATAAAAATCTTAGACAAACTTTCTATGACATTAAATGAGTTCCTTCAACCTACATGATTTCTTTACTCTTGCTAACTAATGCATTTAATTCTCTCCTTTGAGTCTCTTCCTCTTTCAAGGAATTCAACATTTTATAATATAAGTGGATTTTATGTAAAGTTTATTGGAGACTGAATATTTGATGATGAGAGAGAGGATATTGATAATGTGGCTAATGTGAAATTTTGCAAGTTTTAGCTTTAGATTTGGCCTTTAAAAGTGCATGCACAGGTAGGTTAAATTCTTTTGGTGTAACAGGTTTTTATGCAAAATACTTTTCCTTCAGGTACCTCATAGTTTACTTACTTTAGTAGAAATTTTTCTACGAAACAATGTGAACTTACCCAGTTTCCTGTGCTAATTAGAATTTCTGATCAAATGATATCAGGGATATTTCTTTGAGTTGAAAGTGTTCTAGTAAATAAGTCTGGTGAAGTTTGAGAGAGTGATATACTATTTCAATTAGGCTTTTCCAAATACTGAACACATGATAGTTCTTCATAGCTGACTTTTTGCGTCCCAAGCGACTCAGATTGGGTGGGTGCACTTATAAAGAAAGTTGAAAGAAAGGCCATGAATAATTTGGGTAAAATAGGAGATTCTGACATTAGCCTCTCCTTGGCACACTCACTAAATTATCAGGAGGTTTTCCAGTCTGTATGTCATGTTTATATCTCAAACTTCTTCCTCATCTGTCAAATTTCAAGTCAAATAGTCTATTCTACTACACACACACACGGGCACAAACATTTCTATACACCAATTCACCACCAGCAAATAGGAAGATGAAGCTGTAACATGGAAGTTTTTCTGGTTTCTAAGCAAGGGAAACCAGATTACGGCAGCTAACAAATGATCTCTACTTTTAGAGAAGTAAGAATGAACACCTGAACCAGGGGCTCCTCTAGTATTATCTAATTATTCTTCCTCTTAATGAAGGACATTTAGATTGGTCCCTTCACTTTTACAGTCTTCTTTGATAATCCTTATACAATCTTTTATGAATCTGCTTCCTGGAGCATTTCTACAGGATAAGTTTCTATCAGGAGACAATAAACTTGAGAACAATGCAAAAGCTATGACTTCTAAGCAGCACTTGCATTATGGTGCTGTGTAACCGGATTTCTCAGTTGTGAATTGCCTTTATGTCTATAAGACTTGGGAAACTTATCATCCTAAAGTGAAATTCAAAGGCTTTATTTTTAGCCCCAAGTATGTCAGGCATCAAAGAACAGGATTTGGGATGTTAAGAGTGAACAAATTAAAGGCAGGGAGTAGGGAGAGAGGTAGACTACAAAGCAGGGTTTTAAAAATTAACTGGAAAAACTCCTAAATCTTCCTATCCCCCGAAGCACTCATGGTTTTCAATCATTTACAAAACATTTACAAATAGGAATACTGGACATTCTGAAATACTTTCTCCAGATTATAAATAAAGCTGGTACTGTTTTTCTAACTTCTAATTGGTTTGACTCTTAGAACCATAGTTGCTTAATGCTTTATATTTACGAAGTACATTGGAATTTGTGTGGGTATTCGTTTATTCGATGAAGTACATTAGAATTTAAGATCCATTATCAATCTTATTCAAAGTTGAGGTTGGGGAGAGGTGTCCTTGTCCCCATTAATAAGTAAGGAAACAGGCTCAGAGGGTGGGTAAATTTGCCAGGCTTACAGCTAGCTAGTAGCAGAGCAGACATTCAAAGGTAGCTCTTTTGCCAACCTGATAAATGCTTGTCAAGGAACTAAGTGTTTTTTCTCCTGTCAACCAAGTTCCACAGTATGTCCTTCCATATCAAGGTAATTCACGATGGAATGTCAAACTGGAAAATGGAAATAAACATAAGTCATAGGAATTGCTAACAGAAACTAAGCTGTCATTTTCCCCACCCTCATTTGCTTCAGTTTCTACTATCCTCTAGGTAAGTAATGGCTTTTATTAAAGTGACTAATAAAACAAATGGGGAAAGGAGGACATATGATTCTGAGTCTATAGAATTTAAAAGAACCTGTGCATTCTCCTCAAAGGGTGGTCCTGGTCCGTGAGCCACTACTGGTTCCCAACAGAATAAGCACAGAAACAAAGCATTCAGAAAGTTTTATATTTTACAGAAATTTTATGTCTATGATAATCCAATAAAGGGAGTTTTATATCTTTTTTAAG